ACATAAGAGGAAAGCTAAGGGTGACACTCAGGTGCACACTCAAACTAGTGATGGAGTTGGATCTAAGTGGATTGATGTGTTTATGTAAAGCATGGATTTTAAAAATTTTCTTTTATAAAGGAAGCCAACAATCCGATTACACAAGCAAAAAGACACATTATTCATATTACAAGTAGCATAATCACACCCTAAAAATCAAAATATATTGAAATGAGATAAAACACACCTTTCATTTCAAGATTCTTATTTTCAAGCACTTAGTGAATTGTAGTGAATTCACCACTGCACCAACGATTGATTTCTCAACCAAACAAACTTACCACTTATTTTTCAAGAATGTTTTCAACTTAAACCTTGAGTGGACAAGGTGTAGAATGCTAGACTACAAGGTGGCAACCGATTTGGTCTTTCTCTACTTCTTAAAAATTAATGGCTATTTTTCTTCCAAGAAATCAACCAAGAATGGGAGAGAAGAAGAGAGGTACGACAAACTTAAGAGAAGGAGGAGGAGAGAAGTCGTAATAGAAACTTTTTCAAGAAAGATACATACGATTATTTTCTTCCAATCTCTTCTCGTTTTACTAAAACTCTTGCCTCAAAGGTTTAATCAAAATCAAATACCTTTAAATCAATCTTGACCATCCTTTTAGAGTTATGAATGCATTAAACATGCTCCATTATTATCAAAATTAAAATTAAAGAATAAATAACTTAATTCTTTAATTATCATTTAGAGTTCTTGATGAAATAAAACTCCATGTTGAATAATAACTATTATTTTATCATTATTCATCTTTATTTAAAAAGAATTAATAATAAATAAAAAAATACTAGTCAAATATGAAGTCTTTTTTTTTCAACATGGATGTCTAGATTCATTTTGCAAGAATCCTTCTAGCATTATCTTAATTTCAGACAACTCCTATCTTTAATTAAGAAAAAACATATTATGTTGTCTAAATTGAGACAAATAAGTTTTTTTATGTAGATTAAGACAAAACATATTTTTCTTGTCTTAAATTAAGACAAGTATGTTTTTTTGTCAAAATTAAGACAAAGCATATTTCTTGTCTTAAATTAAGACAAACATGTTTTCTTGTTTAAATAAAGAAAAACATATAAAAGCTATCATTTTTGTACATAAATTTATTTAATCAAATAAAACAGGCATTCCAACTTAAACAAGTTGAATTTTAAGAAGTTAAGTGGGGAATCTATTTGGAAATATATATTCTAAGCTTCAATAAACTTAAAATTATTCTTAATCTTATTAAGATAATTCAAGCTTATTAACTATGAAATCACCCTACCATAGATTCATGGTTGCACTCTTAGATTAACTATAATTACTAAAAATTACTCAATATTTGATATTAATTATGAGTTGTCTAACTACAAACCTTATATTGTAAACCCTCATAACCATCCAATAATAAAAGGTGAAAATACCGTTTTACCTTTTATGTCAATTTTGTCCCTTATCACTTATTTGAACAAATTAGTGATTCAATACTCTAGATTTAATCTTTTGAGTCTAGATCAACGCTTTTATGACAATCACACTTTTGGTATATCAAAGATTATAAGCAAATAAAATATGAGTTTAATATCTACCAGGATTTCGGTTCTACTATAAATAAATGCATAAGTGTGAGATCAAGACTTAAGTAACGGTTAAACTTAAACTTGATTTTTACATGATTCCAATTCATGTTATAGTGTCATTACTCAAAGTCAACCATTCCAATGATTTGAGACTCATTATTCCCTTGAAGTGAATCATATTTGTTTCATTGGAAGTAATTTGGACTCTTGAATGAGAAGATACTTCCTTTTAATATGTTTTTCTGCTTTCTGATTTCGTGGTTATTTTGAGTTAGCCACTACTCCACTATTATCACAATAGAATGTAATGGGCTTGTTTGCATTTAGAATTACTTTAAGGTCCATAAGGAACTTACAAAGCCACACAGCTTCCTTTGTTGCTTCACAAGTCGCAACATACTCTATCTCTATGGTCAAGTCTGCAATACAAGATTGTTTTACACTGCTCTACACTATGGCTCCTCCTCCTATAGTGAAAACAAATGTTGATGTCGATTTCCTAGAAACAACATTAGACTAAAATTTTGAATCAATGTACCTTGTTGCTACAAGGTCACTTGCTGAATATACAAGCATGTTATGCTTCATTCTAGATATTTAAAAATGCACTTGACTGCAACTTAGTTCTCCATGCCTTGGTTTGGCTGAAATTTGCTAACCGATCTAACTAAATGGCAGATATGTAACCTAGTGCAGGGCATAACATACATGAGACTTCCAACAGCAGATGCATATAAAATCCATCTCATGTTTTCAATTTTCTCTAGAGTTTTAGGTGACATTTTTTTAGAAAGTTTGATTCCATATCTAAAAGGCATAAAACCCTTCTTGGAATCTTGCATAGATAACTTGCCCAAAATCTTGTCTTTGTAGGATGCTTGAGATAATGCTATCTGCCTGTTCTTACAATCCCTTATAAGTTTGATCCCTAAAACGTAGCTAGCTTCTCCCAAATCCTTCATATTTAATTATTAGTTCAGCCAACCTTTAACTGCTGATAACATTCCTACATCATTCCCAATAAGTAGACTGTCATCAACATAAAGGACTACGAAAACAACCTTTTTATCTTATATCCTTTTATAGACACAAGGTCTGCCAACATTTTGTTGGAAACCATATGATTTAATAACAGTATCAAATCTTATGTTCCAAGACCTACGAGCTTGCTTAAGTCTATAATGGACCTATGCAATTTACAGACTTTATGCTAGTGGTCCCCATTTAAAAATGCGATCTTGCCGTCCATTTGCCATATCTCATAATCACGATGTGCAACTATAGATAAGAGGATCTTAATGGATTTAAGCATAGCAACTAAGGAAAAGGTTTCTTCGTTGTCAATCCTTTCTCATTGGGTAAAACCTTTGGCCACTAGTCTAGCCTTGATGGTTTCCACTTTCACATCACTTCCTCTTTATCTCTTCTAGATCCATTTATATCCTATGGGTTTTATCGCTTCAAGTGGATCTACTATAATTCAAACTTTGTTGGAATCCATGGAGTCTAACTTAGATTTCATTACCTTATTGCATTCTTCAGCATCTACATCGTTAATAGCTTCCTTATATGTAATAGGGCCAGATTCATGTTCATCTAAAGATGCAATCATATTTTCTCCCAAACCCAGTTATCTCTTTGGTTGTCTCAAAACCCCCAATTACATTGAGACACCATTACTTGATGTTTAGGTTGTGTTTTTGTTTCAACCCTTGAATTAGACTGTGTTATTATATCTTTAGAATTAACTCTTAAATCTGAAGGATCAAACAATTTTATTAAGACAATTTTACGTTCAAGTTTGCGATTTTTCACAAACTCTTCTTCTAGGAAAATGACATTCACACTAACAAAAACTTTCTTGTCTTGAGGACTATAGAAGTAATAACCTTTGTTCTTTTTGGATACCCTACAAACAAGAACACCTTAGTTTTTGGCTCCATCTCTGTGAACTTAGGTTTTAAAGCATGTGCAGCACACCTCGAAGTTTGCAGATGACGTATAGATGATTTACACCATATTCACAGCTCTTTTGGTGTATTAGGTGTAGAACCTCGTATTCTCAAATAGGAGTCAATAAGATCCAGTTGATAAGACAAAGGGTCAATTGACGAAAATCTAAGTGTCAAATAGCAGTAATGGGTGAAAAGAATATTTTAAAATAAAATATTTCATACGTGATAAAATAATAATTAAATCATAATATTATTATCGAGGATGAATAAGCAGGTTAAAAGGTGATTTGGAAGTGAATCGGGGCAAAGTGAGACACTTTGGGACCTGAGGAGACAAGTGGAGAATTTTAAAATAAAATAATATTTTATTAATAAAATAATATTAAAATATTAATATTTTAATTATTGTTGAGATTAGTCATGGAAGAGGATTATATGACTAATCTAAGTGGGGGAGAAAAAGTAAGAAAGAATTTTGAAGAAAAACGACATTAGTGAGGCCCGCATGCCTTTATTAAATATAGCACGAGTAAGTAAGTATATATTTAAATATTATAGTGACACCGTGATACGTGCAAACCTTATATTATATTTGTACACATGTAAAGGAAGAAAACTAGAAGGAAATTGGAATTTAAGAAGTGTTGAAAGGACCAAATAATAAAGCATGAAAGTTTGGAGGGTCACACGATAAATAAAGAAAATCTTGAGGACTTAAGTGTAATTTTCAATATTGAAGTTAAATGGGAATTTATTAACCAAGGAAAGTTGGATTAGGAGGAGTATGAGATGTACATATGAAATTTACTATTACATGCAAATTATTATATGAAAAAAAGAGAAGTTAGTAGGGAACATGTGGGACCCCCACCATGTGAAGTAAAAGAAAGAATAAGATTAAAATTTATTGCATGTAATGCGATTGGTGCATTTGGTAGTCAAATGAAGAAAGGAGAAAGTGGGTTACATGTGATTTGAATGGTGTAACAAATGGTCAATTAAAATATAAAGGAAAGTTTTGCATGAAATGTAATTGGAAGAAATACGTGGCAAAGGAAATAAAAATAAAAGTAAGAAAATGAGGTGGCAGATGGAAGGCAATTAGGATAGATTTTGGACCAATGAGCAAAAGAGATAATTTGCGAATGAAATGTGAGTGGGGAGTGAGTTGGTCCAATGAGAATAAGGAGCAAATAAAGGAATGAAGAGAAAAAGAATAGAATAAAGAAAATTAAGAAAATAAAAATGAAAAAGGTAAAGAAAATGAATGTGACAGGTAGAAAAGTTACTAAGGCTTTTTGCCTTGTACTTTTACTACATAAAAGAAAAGAAAACATGCCAAAAAGGCATGGAGCTTTGGGCAATCCACCCATGAGAGAAGCAAAGAGAAAAGGAAGGAAAATAAGGTAAAAACAAGTGACCTTGGGCAATCTGCCATGTGAGAAACAAAATAGGGAAACCAAAGGCATTTTCAAGGCTTTTTCCTTGAGGAGTCTGCCCATAGCAAAGTGAGAAAGAAAGGAGAAAGAAAGAAAGGAAGAAAAAAGGAAGAAGAAAAAGGAAAGGAAAGATTGGTTTGGTAAACCTGAAGCAAGTAAGGTAAGGAGATTTCCATTTTTCTTGAAATGCATGCTTAGTAAATCAATTGTAATGTGTGATATTGTTTGTGATAGGAAGAATCTACAAGGATTCAAGGGACCCAAGGCATGCATGTTAGTAGATCTTGGAATGTAAGGTGATTTTGGAGCTAAATAAGTAATGGGTAAGTGTTTTAGTCTTGAAATTTTAAGTACAAAGGAAAAATGAGATGTATATTGATTCACTATGTTTGTGGCAGCAAAGGTGACCTTAGGTGTGAGGAAGTTGTGAATCATATTTGAAAATTCAAGCTTAAACCTAGAGGT